CTTTATTCTAGAAAAATGCTTAATAAACATTAATTTGAAAATCCTAATGGGTGGTTTGTAAATATTTTTGAAAGGTTTACGTGACAACTGCTGGCGGTATCGAGGATGATTTCATGAAGTGTAGAACGCCCTTCTACCACAGAAACTTCCGGATGAACGGAGCAGATTTGCACAAACGCGCCCACAACAGAACAGGAAATCTCATCGTCCCCAACAACTGTTACCGTGAGTTCCACAAGTTTCTCAACCCTATACTGGAGGACATGAGGGAAGACCAGATGTTGAGAACGGAGTGGACACCACAAAAACTCATCTGGCACCTGGGCAAAGAGATCAACGACCCTGCCTCCATCTACTACTGGGCCTACCGGAAACGCATCCCTGTCTTCTGTCCCGCCATCAGAGACGGGGCGGTGGGCGATGTGCTCTACTTCCACAGGCACGTGCGTGGCCGGACGGCGGTCAAGCTGGACATAGTGGAGGATATACAGGCCCTGAACGATATGGCTGTCCAGTCGGTGAACACAGCCCTGATCACTGTGGGCGGCGGAGTGATCAAACACCACATCCTGAACGCCAACACGTTCCGAGACGGGGCCGACTTCTCTCTCTTCATCAACACGGCCGCCGAGTTTGACGGAAGTGACGCAGGGGCCAGTCCAGACGAGGCCAAGTCCTGGGGAAAAATCAGCCCTCAGCGTACCCCGGTCAAGGTGTTCGCCGATGCCACTCTAGTGCTGCCCCTCCTTGTAGCGGAGACGTTCGCCAAAAGGGAGGACGAGTTTAAGGTGTTTAACAGGACAAACTTAAACTAGACCCAAGGAGGTTATGCAGTAAGGTCCTTGCCTGGACTAGGCAACGACGTGGTCATTGATTGGTTGGGGAGAAAGCTTGAGGATTGTACATGTACATGTACGTTTCGCCAGAGTCGTGTTGTGGGGATTTTGGGAAAAGTACTTATTCATGTATTACTTGGTGTGGGAAAAGAAGAGGACTTTCTCCTTTCCAACCAAACATCTATCGTCCTTATCTACCCTCCTTCTATATTTTGTTTTTTCCTCTCTTGTAACACCTCTAATCTTCGGCACTTATATGACCATATTGCGTTGCAAGTGCCGTAAAACTCTTACAAAAACCAAAGAGGATTGTACGTTTCGCCAGCGTCAAGTTGTGGGGATTTTAGGAAAAGTAGCCTACTTAGTGTGGAAAAAGAAGAGAACACCCTCCCCCCTCCTCAACACATACACACACACAGACAATTGCAGACTGACACTGACACGAATCTCCTGGTGGGGATTTTAGGAAAAGTACTTTGTGTGGGAAAAGGAAGAGGAACAACTCCCTC